CTTCTTTCAGGACCTTTGGTTATCTGATTATTAATCGTTCAATTAGGAAAAATAATCAACACATTAATTTGTTTGCAAAATAATCGTTAGTTGCAGCCCTAGATCAAGTTAATCTGCTTACAGAGAACTAACTTCAACATTATGGGGCACCTTTTGGATGGAATAAAGCAACTATGAACACATGCCTAAACCTTGTGGAGGCTGTTTTTAGAATATTTGAGAAATCACTATTGGAAATTGGACACCACAGACTGGGAATAAGCTGTCAAAGTCTCATCCAAGGGGTTATTGGTAAACTTAAAAACTCTCAAAATGTGCTTTTTTTTCTTGATTCTTATACTGTCAGGATAGGTGATATAATACTTAATTCCTAAAATGAAAATGGAAAGAAAAAATGTCTGAGTAATAACATTCACAATAAACAATCAAATAAAACACATATAAAGGCAGAAATGGATATTTGGAGCTGACAAGTGAGTAAAGAGCAGGTAAAAGTGAAACTATAAACTAAAACACAAGATTTAATAATGGGCAATAAGCGGAGTATTCCAGCATACAGTGAAGGCAATGCATTAACATATCACATAACAGGAACTCAAACAACACGGGTTAACTTTGGCAAATTCTATGAGATCCACAAATCAGGAAAGAAAGTTAAATAAACAAAATTGACCTAGTTCTGCCAGCACAGGGTTTCCTGATACTTTGCTTGGAAGACCTACGATAAAATTACAATAGATTACATATAAAAAAGGGTTTTACGTTTTTTTTTTTTATCTCAAAAAATTTAAAATGGTGTTTTATAAATCCCTCCTAAATTGTAATGATAAAATAACTCAATCAAAGGAGATATTTCTAGCAACAAAAATTGTGATTGAATAGATGCCATCTTAACTGTCTTCCTCAGGTAGGCCTACTTTATCATTCCATTATAATACAACGTACAAACTCTGAAAATACAGTTGCATGGTCTTACAAGATGACATCTGCAGTCTTCACAAGCAGCAACATGTGAAAATATGCAGCATTAGATGTTTCGGCTCAGAACTACAACAAAAACGAACAAGCGGCTCCGAATGCTGCCAAGGAAATGTTTTTTCAAATGCAACAGTTATAGTAAAAGGCAACAGTTCCCTTCATTGCTCAACCGTACTGCTTTTTAATTGCTATTGTATCAAGAAATATTTTTATTTCCTTCAAAACACACAAGACTAAAAATGGTACAATTATATTCCAAATGTCATATGCATACTACCATGTATGCAAGCAAAAATCCTTACACCAAACATCTGTTAGACATAGATTTAGAGCAACTAGAGAAAAAAAAAGCATGCAAAGCTAAGAGCCTGTTTGGATACTTTTAATATTTCCTCTATTCTGGGTTAGCTACTGAATTAACTGAGGATTTAAGGTTTAAGACATAAAAGCCAGTTGTTTCTTTTAGGATAAATATATATCTATTGTTGGTAATGTAGGATTGGGAGACATTTTATAGTTTATACGCCTTAAGTTTCCGTTTTTGTAATATTCGATGACTAATATGGGATTTGTTTTAGCTTCAGGAGCAACCAAATGGGAAGACAAAATAGTCTAATAAGCATGTCCTTATAGCAGCCTTGCAGACTACTTGTAAGAAAGGAAAATTATTTGAGTTTCTCAACATGATGGCATATGAAACAAAAAGTAATGCAGAAAGTGATTTTATTTGTTCTTTATTACGTCCTCTTTTTTAAAATGCTGTTTATGATGGTTAAGTGTTACATTCTACCATTAAAGATCTATTACGAAACGAATGTTTAACAGTTTCCCATTCCATGCAATCTTAAAGTTACGCAAAAAGAAAAACTTATAATGGGTTTTAAAGAGGTATGCTGAAAATCTGCTCAGGTAGGTGCTCGTTATAACTGGGAAAATAATGAACAGCAGTTGACAGTTTGTAGAGCAGGAGGCAGCTTTTACTTTATTGTAGGCCTGCACACGTGGCCATGCAGGACACGTTTGCGCACAAACACACACAAAGTCCCTTTTAAAGCCCTCAACGATGCAGAAAGCAAAGTAACAAGAGTCTGGAAATAGCCTGAATATTTTGACACTAGATAACAGAAAAGTTAAGAAAATAATAATCATTTTAAGCGGATTTCAGCTGCAGCACGCCTTAATGTTTACTTTCATTAAGCATGTATTAAACTCCAAAACTCTATTTTACTCCAAAAATCAAATATAATCAAGGCTTCTGCTAAGCTCATTCAAATTTGTTTTATATTTTTTGATTTCTTTGTATCAACATACCTAGATCAGAATACATTTTGTCAACAAAACATTTATTATGTTTCTACTTTTCTGTTTACGTTTCTAATTTAAGTCGAGCAAGGCTTTTTTTATCCTTTAGCTAATGCTTGATGAAATGACATGCAGCAGCAGGAAATCAAAGGGCTTTTAAATGTAATAAAGGTTTCTGTTACTTTTGTTTTAGTTCCCACATTGAGTTTAATTTGATGTATTTTGAGAGACGCATATGACATATAACGCAAGTTAGAGCAGATTATATTGCATTTGATCTTAACCTTGCAGGATTAAACCAGATCCCCCCCTCCTAATTCCACACATTAATACTTAAAACATCTATACGCTTAAGTTAATTATGTGTTTGCATTCACAGAGCTTTCCCTAGCATTGGGATCAAAGAACAACAGCTGGGAAATGACCAAACTACTAGATGAAGGTATTAGGAACGGCTCCATGAATCAAACTCAAGTACAAATATTTTTTCTTATTTTCCATTTTTCTTCATGGCTATAAATTTGGAAAATGTTGAATGGCGGACCTATGATTTTTAATGTAGTTTCATCAATTTATCCATAAATTGCCTCTCTATTATCTGATTTAAAGTCAAGCTAAAGGGTCCAGGAGAGACACTCAGACATCTCTCTGTGATCCTGTGATGTTCATAGGTTAGATTGTACATATAGTCCCTCCAGCAGTTCTGGGTCTTGCCCAAGATCTCTCCTCAATGGGACGTGCTAGGAAAAACCATCAAACAGAGGCTCCAACTGACTGATTTTGATGTGAAGAAGCAACAGTTCCACTTTGAGCTCCTTAGCCTTTCTCTAAGGCAGAGGACCGTCACCCCTGCAAAGAAGCTACTTTTTTTGAGCATGCATTTTTATTACTTTTTTAAGTACATCTGTTCTCATGCTAAATGAAATGCACAAAGCAAATCATGGTGCAAGCTTCTTCAGGCTATGTCCCCTAAATGCACCATGCATTACAACATTGCGTGAGTGAATGTGTGATTTCTTGAGACCAGGACTACTGCAGCTAGCCAAGAGCCAGAGACTACCGAGGTCTCCTTTTACAGCCCTTGAAATACATGATCTCAAGTACATTGGAGAATTTGAGTTAACATATTGATGCATGATCTCAATATGCCCACCAATAACAAAGCTAATTTGATGGTCGAAATAACCTTTTGCTTGAAAGACTCAAACATTTTTCCTGTTAACTCCCATTAGTTCCAAAGAAAGGTCTATATATTTTTTTTTTATGTCTTTAGACAGTCTACTTAATTAGCAGATAGCTCAAGTAATTGCCCAGCAAGTATGAGCATGTTATACACCTAGTGTTATACTGCACAGAGCAGAACGGCAACAAAATACAACATTTAATAATAAGTACTTCGAACCTAAAACTACAAGTTGTTCATACAGTAATGCATTCATACTTTATATTGTCTGTCTAAGCCAAGGCAACAACAATAGATCAGTAAAAGAACATTAAAAAAAGGGAAATATATGGCTTTCGAAGTAAAAAAAATAAATTGAATTTAAATATATAGAAGCTAATAAATCAGGACATAAGCGACTAGTTTAGATTTCTTTTGCAAATGCCATTATAAAGTGAAACTGACACTTTTCTTAAGTTATAAAGTACGTTTCCCCCCTTGTAGACGATGCAACGTTACAATCATTTCTATTCTCTGTATGCTAGATCTTGTATCACGAGGCTTCCGTTTAGCACATGAGTGACATGCATGCATGCATCAAAGAGACAATGTCATACCTATGATCTGGAAGTTTGACACAGCGGCAAATATTAGCCTGATAATTAAGAGCCAACAGAAGCTGAGCGCTTTGTTCATCTACTGTATCACTTTGTCAAACCTAAAGGAATGTAGCAAGGCATTATTACAGAGCACCGTTTAAATAACATCTCGTCATCTACTCTCCTCGACTCCGTCACAAAATGCCTCATAAAGCCTAAAATGAGTCTCTCTCTTTTCAAATGTTCCACTACAGTGTTTGAAAAGTTATTAAACAGGGCTGAGAGTGAGGTGTGCCCACCAGACACCTCTTAATGAGTTGCACTTCCTCAACTTTCTCACAGAGCTCATTTCCTTTGTGTTAAAAAAAAAAACCTTGCTGCATCTTCACCAATGTCAGAAAAATATGATTTAAGAAAAAAAGGCCTTTCACTTGTACGTCACGGTTTATGAAACTGTTAAATCTTTCAAATGAAACGGAAACTCTTTGTTTGGGTAGTATCTAGGCAGAGTTTCGAATGAATTTAAAACAATGACAATGAAACACAAGTAAATCCTAAGCAAAGATTAAAAAAAATATATATTTTTTTTTTCTGTAGCCAACTTCTAATCTGTCTGCACTAGTTCTCCGACTATGCCTGACCTCTGACATTACAAAAGGGGAAAAAGGGCCTAAAGTTCATCTTTGGCATTCCAAAAATGTGACACAATGGGAATAAAGCAGAGGAATGTGTGTCAAACTGGCTCTGCCCGTTGGGAGGTGATAAGCGCCAGATGCCCCGCACCCCAGGAGTGATCGGACTTTGCTAAAGAGTGTCATAAGCTGAAGCAAAGCTGAAAAAACATTCTTCATTGATCGAATTCTGAGAAATCAAACCTTTCCTAAGCTCATTAATGCAAGATAAATCCAACAGAAAACAGACAAACCAAAGGTGGACTGGAGAAATAACTCTGTTCATACCTTGGAAATCCGACAGAAAAATTCCCCAAAGCTCCAGGAGAGGAGAGGCGATCACTAGTGCCTTGAATTCCAGAGGAGTCTCCATACCTCTTCCCACCTACCCAGCTCTCTCCGACTCCTTGCAGGTTTTGGTACGTGCCAAAAGGCTTCTGGTCTTGTATGCCTACTGTACCAGGATTGGCTCTGTAGTGGTATCCAGTTCCTGCTCCAACATCCATGGGAGACATGTTTCCCACTCCATGCAGAGGGCTCATGCTACTCTGCAGACACTGGGACTGGCAGTAACCGGCACCGTCCTGCTTCTCCTGCTTAACCACACCAGGGGTATGGATGCGGATGAAATCGGGATCCTTCTCTTCCTTTATGATGACACTGGAAAGCATCGCCGGAGGTTGTTGCTGCTGCTGAAGCTGATGTTGTACCAGGGGGTGTGGAGACTGCTGCTGCTGCTCAGCGCCATTCAAACCGATACAGTTTGCCCCGTTACCCAAAAGGGACTTTTCAGGACCACCACCACCACCACCGCTACTCTCCTGGAGGATAGTATCCAAATGTGCCACTTCTGAATCCAATTCAAAAGCGCTGATTTCTGGCAGAGAGTTCGGAAGGTCCAGATCTTGCCAGATATCTGCATCATCCAGTACCGGAGCGCTTCTGTCATCCAAATTGTAAGCAGCAGCCCCTGTCTGTCCACCAAAAGTTCCTAACTCCTTATGCAGAGAGAAGGTCCCCTCCTGCTTAATTTGCTGCGAGAACAGGTCTGGCAAAGGTAGGTTGCCCAAAACAGAGTTTTCTGATGTGTTAATGACAGCGGCAGGCATCTGATCAAAGTCAGAAATACTCTGGTTCAGCAAAGGCAAATTGTCCCCATAGCTGAATAGATCCTGTTCTTGCTTATGTATCCTGCTCATTTTACCCTCCTTATCTGACTCAAAGAGTCCTGAGTGCTCCCTCTCGTCTTTGGTTCCCCCTCGTCCATTCGGTGCTACTGTGCTCTGATTCATAGACCCTGGACCGGGTAGATGCATTGCAGATTGAAGCCGTAAATCGGGTGTGTCCACTGTGTCTCTAACTACTTGCGGTCCAAGTCCTACAAATGTAAGGTTGTCGTTCCGATTACCATTGTGCTTTGGTCCTCCCTGATCCATGTCGTCATTCTGCGAACAAAATAATCAAAAAGCAGGTAACTTATAAGGAAGTGAAAATAATGAAATATCTTTGAAAATGACAACAGAAACCTGGAAGTGATCAATAAAGTTTCAATAAAATATCTGATTAGAGTTCAGCCTCTTGTCCATTCATCTTTACCTTAACAAATAAAAATGACAACACAGAGTTATCATTGCTATAACAGCGTTAAAGTAGGGCATCAAATGGGTCCTATGGGACTATTATAGTGCAGAAATGACTAATGTGTGCATGTTTGATCTTAGAACTGCAACCTCTTGTCTGGTTTAAGAGTCAAGAACTGAAAGACATGCCCAGGCGCAAACTTGCTTTGCAAGTGAAACTGCTGACTGTACCACTTACAGTGAGCGTGTGTGCAATAGCATGCATCTGTTGGAAGAGATTAACCAACTCAGGGGCCTTTTGCTGCAGGCCTCAGTGGGTGTCTATCTCCTTTAGCAAACAGAAGCATAACAGTCAAATACAAACCAATTTAGGTGGCATATCAGAAACCGAAGCTGTAGAACAGCGTGTCGGCGAAGGCAAACAGGTCTCATTCAATATGTTCTGATTTTTCCCCTTTGACTAATGGGGGATCATGTCAACCACTGTGAATTCATATTTGTTTAATACCAATGTTGCCTTTACTCCCTTGAATCATAATGAATCTTATAATTAATGACAGCAGAATAAAGAGAGTCCTGACATCTTTTTATGCTCTTTTAACATTCAGGTGATACTTTTGTTTAGGATTTTGATGAAAATATCTACTGTGACTCTAAGGACATCCCAATCACTGCTAGTTGAGTTAATTGGTTAAATTGAGGGTCTTTCAGAGCATTAAGATTAGTAAAAATACCCCCAATTGGGCAAAGATGTAATTATTTGCACTTTGCAGTAAAAAAGTATAAAATTGTCTTTCAAATATTGCATCACACACACATCTAATATATATATATATCTATATATATAGATATCTATAGATATAGATATAGATATCTATATATATCTATATCTATAGATCTATATCTATAGATCTATATCTATATATCTCTATATCTATATCTCTATATCTATATATATATATATATATATATATATATATATATATATATATATATATATACATATGAGATAAGTGCCTGGAGGAGCAAATAAAATGTACCATAACTGATTTAGTTGAAACAGAACAGACCATCAGAAAATATATAAGATAAATTGGATCTGTCAGCTAACTTAAATAAAAAAAAATAAAGAGAGTTTTTGCCTTTAATTTGTCTTCCTTCCTCCCTGCCAATCTGAGACAATATTACCAGCCTTCTAGTATGAATTTTTTTTTTTTTTTTTTTTTTTTTTTTTTTTTTTTTTTTTTTTTTTTTTAAGTATAAATTAAACCAGTGGGATAAGGGACAGACAAAAAGTTAAAAGACACAAATTTGTTTTAATCTAAAATACAAAAAAAAAAAAATAATAATAATAATACATAAATAAATTAAAACAGGGTGCATTTTCAGAATTTTTCCAGACTTCAGATTAAATAAATAATTAATAACAGTTAAAAAATTCGGATTTGAAAACAGCAAAACAAAAAGTCACATTTACAGGATCTAGTTTGTACTGTTTTAAGAATACACGATTAAATAAATACAAGATGGCTATTTTTGCAAAGCAAACAAAGCTATTACATAAGGTACAGTTTATAAATAAACAAAAAACAACATTAAAATAATACAAATAACTTAAAAATAGCATTTTGCGGGAAAGAGAGTCACGGAAAAGCGGTGGTTTGTAAAGTTTGAGGTTTCCCGTCTTTCCTACTGTACTTTTCCATCTAGCAGAAAAACCTTTTCTAGATTAGTGCAACCTGTTGGCTGCGGAGGGAAACTGCAGTTAGGGGGACGAACAAATGCTCAGAGATGTTGTTTTACTTCAAAAAACTAAATTCTACTTCGAACTTCAAAAAATAAATAAATAAATAGTGACTTCTGTTCCCCTGCGTGTTTAAGTGTGCCACTCAGCGCGCGGTCCTCAGTGCGCTTGTCACGCGCCACTGTGGACGCTCCTCATCGGCCTACTTGACAGTTTTTAACCCACCACCCCCCCTCCAGAGAGAAAGAAAAAGTAGCTGCACCTGAAAGTAGCCCTTACCTGTAGTAAGAGAAAAATATTATTAGGTCATCTCCTGTCTGAACAATTTTCCCCGAAATGAAACATGTTAGGCGGTAAAAATCGTCACTTCTTGCAGCGCTGGTGTTTCACGCTGAAATGCCACAGCAGTTCGCAGCGGCGTCTCTGACCGTGTGACAGGAAAACAATCTCCGCAATATTTTCTAACTCCGCCGCCGCGTCGCTTGAGCGCCGCTTCTTGGATCCGTCGACAACTTTTAATACGCCTCGTCAGCAACAGGGGGAAGAAGGGGAGAGAAAAAAATAAGAGCAATAAAAGTCAGTCGCTCCCGATCGTTTGGATTAATCCATAACGAATCGACAAAAATGCGACTTGCAACGAATTGCCGCTATGAGCGGTTAACGAGCCGTGAGAACATTAAAGTTATATAACAGAGCCGCGGAGCAGTGGCCCACTCAGCTGTAAACTCAGACAGGGCGATCTATTAGTGTAGTGGCAGCAAGCTAGCCGAAACTATCGGTGCGTTTCCGCTTTGGTATTTCAAAATAAAAGTCGAGTGACTTACAGTGTCGTTTAAATACTTTATTCACGCTCGTAAACCCTATCGTTAATCCTAACTGTTATCAATGTAAAACAATGACCACATTCATATTCACGTTTTGCTGTTTTTTCACTCTGATCAAGATTAGGTTATTTTACTTTGAAGGAGCAAGACAGATATCCTGATTTGTTTGGAAAGCCTGTCGGGAGCAGCTTTACCTCACTATGAGTTTGGCACTTGGCGGTTAACGCCCCTTTACCCACTGAAGCTCAGTCTGCTGCGGAATCTGTCATTGTCACCTCTAACCTAAGAAGGTGGAATTTAGGAGGCCGAGCGCATTCAGTCAAACCAGAGCCCTTTCTGTCTTTTAAATTTTTATTTTTATGAAATAAACTGAGGCTGGGGATTCAACTGCCTTTGGATGAGGTCACACACATACTGTATTTCCTGTTTCTCCATGTTGTATTTCTTAAACAAACTATGAAGAAGATTCTTTTCACAGATAAGTCCATAAAATCTTAGTCTGTGATATTATATGATTCATAATGTAAACATTTCGTAGTGTTTATGTTTTTCTTAGATAACACTCAGTTTAAAAGGAGGTGGAGGAGTCAACTTTTCTTACCAAACATTCCAATTTCAAAATGTTATAGAGATTAATGCAATATAGCCTACCATAATTGTTATTCACAGTGTTTTCACTGCGGATCCAGACATTAGAATTGAGAAAGCTTCCTGGAGGGGAAACGAAACATCTTCAAACCTTGGAAACCAAGCCCAGTGGGTTGTTTTTAAACTTTTACGGAATGACTATGACCTGGATGACTGAGAATCTTCATCAGCATAATTGTTATTATACGGTTAGATTAAATCTTAAATGTCTAGTGAAATTGTGAGCAGAATCAATCACTCCTGTTTTCTTTTTGTTTGTTTTTTAAATAAGAAATAATCAAAATAGCTATCTTTATTTTTTTGCTGACGTTCTTTAGAAGTGGTGTAGAATTTGTAGCAGTGGTTCTACGCATCAATACATCAGGTGGAACTTGAAAGTTACAAGGTTCTTTACAATTACTCTGAAATCAAATCAAATCATACAGATAATTACTGATAAGTCATTTTAAATGCATGTACTTTTGAATACATAAGTATTTTCAAAAATGAGTATTTCAATACTTTAACTTGAGTAGATGTTTGACCGATTAACTTAAAGTTGAGTAAGATTTAACTATGAGTATCAATGCTTTTGCTCAACTTCTACTGTTGTGTACTCCATCCACCACTGCTACTGTTTCATCAGGCAGTTGCTCTGACAGAAATACTTTACTTGCCCTGTTCTCATTAGGTGTTTCAATGAGAAAGATCAACTGGTGAATGACCTCACCGTTTCCCACATAAACAATTATCTTCTCTATAAATAACCATACAGTGCAATGGACTCAAACTTAATCCTCAGGGGTCAGAACCTGGCTTGATGAGTCTCGGGCTGAACTTACCCAAGTCAAATAGCTGAATTCAACATGTAGCTGAGTCCTACAAATTCCTGCAAATTACCACTAAACTTGTCAAGATCTGTCAAAGCAGATACAAATCTAAATGTTGCAACACTCCAGCCCCCCGGGGACTGAAGTTAGAGACTCCTAGTTAGAAGGTTCATAGTTGTGCATAGCGTTGGTATAAAACTACTGCTCCATTTTTAATATTGGAGTTTGTTTACAGTAGCATTTTATTTGTCTCTTCCAGCGCCTGTTTTTAAGCTCCATATAATCTGGATTTAGATTATATTATCATACCAATAGAGCCTTCTAAGGTCAGATTTCAAATGATCATGCACATTTTTTTAAGCTAAGATTTTCAAACAGATAAAGGTACTGAAGGGTTAATAAAGCCTTTTTAGGCCTCCAGACTAAAATATTTCCTCAATGCACCAGATAGTATTTAAAGCTGATTTATATATATATATACCCTGGTAAAAAAAAAATGTGCTTTATTGTATTTCAAGTATATTCATATTTCCTATAGTTTACTGAAAATGTACTTAGACAAATTGTACTTTTTGTAAATATATAAAAAGTATACTAACATTACGCTTTCATGCTAATACTTTTAACACACTTTAACATAATTACACTATGTTACACTTTATAGAAATATATTATTAAAAAAGTATACTTTAAGTGAAAGTTATGTGTAATTTCTAAAGTGTACTTATTTTAAATTTGTTTTTACATATATTTTTGCTATATTTTAAATTGTATGCTCAAAGTTGTCATTGTAACGTACATTGAAAGCATATTTTAAAAGTACACATTTTAATATCGACACTGTAATATTAAGTTTGAGTGCATTTTAAGTTACATTTGAATCTAATTATGAAGTGAAGTTATATACGCTTGTACTTCAGGTAATTCTTTTGGAAAGTGTTCAATAGTATAACTACAAAAATGCACTTAAACCCTATTATGCAATTTTGTGCTGTGTGTAAAGTACACAGATAGCAATTATTGCAGTTGTTATGTAATGTTTAATAAGTTTTGAAAAAGAAATATGATACAATACATCTTACACACAAAACCACATTGAACAAAACACTAAATGTTCACTTCAAAAGTACAGGTGCACAAAAATGTGTGTTCTGCTGAAAAGCAAGTGGTTTAAAGCTGGTGCAGTGCTACATTATGATCTAACAAATAGCATAACCCACATTGCAACAGAAAAGTTAATACTGGCCAAATGCAAAAGAAATAAACTTAACACATTACAATTGTCTCAAGTGTTCAAAAAAGAACATTTCATTAGTATTGTTTAATGGATCAAAGCAGGGCTACTGCAAACAAGACCAATTGGTGAGTGCACATATTTAAAAGTCGCTGACAGCACTTCATGCATATAGGAGTGATATGTGGAGGTTGTTTGGCCTTGATGTCTGTAAAGTAGTAGCTCCCCAAGAATTTTAGTCTTGGGGAGTTTTTGGTTCAGTACTGATATCAGAATTCCCATAGACTTTGAATGCACCACACCTGCACAGCAGTTAGTCACGGCTCCTCCCTGCTCAGAGCTAGCGTGCTTTTCTTTTAAGGCCTTGGTCTGCATGGAGAGAGGTAACTTTCAAAACATTCCCATTTGGTTTTGAAATCTTAAGATATCTGTATAAAACGCGATTTTGATTATTATATTTGTATTGTAGAAACAGGAGATGTAATCGGTTGAGCAGGAAGATTTGCTGTATTATTGTGTTGAAGAATATCCTGGTGAGTTCACATGAACCTGTGAATGAAATATATATATTTTTTGAGATGTAAAACCAGTCAGGATATAATGTTTTGTAATATATGTAATTTTACTAGCTCTTTTGATTTATTGAATGCATTAGCACAGTGAGAAGGAGGCTAACACACCCCCCATGTGCTCTTCTAAAAAAGAAAATGCACTTTCAAGCTAGCTACATCTTGTGTGATGTTGCTGTAAAACCCCCACAAGGGGTTAACGTAAAATTAACCCTTCATAGGTGTCCTGGATTGTTTTTTCCAGATACAAGTATTGACTACTGACCATAATGATTTCTTAGACAGTGAACCACATGTAAATTGATAATTTTACTTTATATTTTTGTCTGTATAAATGTGGTAAAAACCAATTTATATTATGGTGATTACATGATTTATTTTCCAATTGAAGTAATTGCTCTGCACATTTGTGTGCAGGCTGTTTTTTTTTTTACATAGTTGCAGAATCTGCTGTTACAGCTGAGCGGTTCATTGTATGGACTGGACTAGACTCCACCAGAGATGTTGATGCAGAATGTTCCCAATGTGAATGCCATCCGGTTCCCTGGAGGGTGGTAGGAAAAACAAGGAAACTTAAGGATTTTTCTTCCCTTTCTTTCTGCGGATTCATAATTTTTTTCTTTTCTGAGATCTCTGACAATTTTTGTTGTTACTTTGTTTAATTTTTTTGATCAGATCTGATAAAACCACTTGATGCATCAGATTTATTTAAATTCAACTGAAATGGACAATTTTTTTTTCTGGTGCACTTATGGACCCTGGTATATCATACTGATACAATTTGTCAGACTTTTCTGATGTACTGCTCAAAAATACTATGAATTTACAGTATCTCTCTGTTTGGTTAACAGACGCTGTTCTTCTGGAGTTTCCGTAGACAAGTGTCTCTGATGTGCGCACGGCCATCAGACGAAAATGTAACAATGAGCAGTTCAGCCAAAAAAAGGAAAATAATGTGTGGTGGGCGTGTTTTTGTATGGTGCGAGGGTTTAGGGGTGCAATAATAAGGAATGTTGTTTTTCATTGTTCAGTATTCCTCTGCGTTCTTTAAAGTTTATTTGTAATGTTTAGGTCTGCTGCCTGAAATTGACATATTTCTACAAAGTGTACTAAAGTACCAATATTTGAAAATGTGTTGTAAGTTTTATAATGAAAATGGTTAACGTCGATATGTAAATGTTTATACATTCTGAGATAGTACAAGTTATATTATTTGTAATGTACTATAATTTGGACATGTTTCAAATACATTAAAGTATATTTTTTCATCTGCACGGAAGTATATCCACAAGTCTTTCAGCATTTAGTATACTGTTAATACATTTGCAAGAATGTGCAAGGTAGAAAGTAGTATAGCAATGTAATGATAAAGTATATTTACTATTAACTGCAAAGTATGCTTTTTTAGTAATTGGAATAAGCCAACAGTATAATTAAGCATATTATTACCACAGTAAGAGTATATTAAAAGTATAAAGCTTATATATTTTTAAGACACTAACAAATCATTTTTAATGTAGTTATAATACAACCATAGTGCACTTTAATTTGACTAATTAAGCATATATTAGTACATATAAACTCATATACTTAAAGTATACAAAATATACTTTAAGTTGTTCCACTTTAGCACATCAAAGTACACTAAATACACTTCAA